ATGTTCTCTTTTTTCTTCAAGAAAAAAAAGATCTTGAAAAGATCGAAGCCAATATCGTGGATATAATGTTTTAATATCCTCTAATATCGCACGTGTAGAAATACCCTCTTCAATAATTCGATTAACACAATCCATATCTTCTAAATGATGTTTTTTAATTTCATCTTCTCCAAGAAATTCGTTTTGAGAAAAAAGAAATCGATATGAACCAAACTCCCATGGACCCAATTCAATGCCATCATCAACCCAATGCGCACGTGTACGTTTCTCAATACACTCAACCGTGCATACATTACAAATCTTGTTTCGATCCATAAAATTACAACAACAATCTTTAGCATGAAGAGGATCCTTACAATGATTCCATGGCTTCATACTATAATTACGATTTTGTTCCGAATCACCATTTAAACGTTTTGAAAAACTCATAGAACGATGTCCAAATAAAGATTTAACAGACTTCACTGTTTGCTGATCTTTGGATTGAAAAAAACATTGTTCATAAAACTGCCCCTTCTCCATTGGTTCTGGCTGACCAGATGAGTAAGTAAGACCTTTTGCTTCTAATTCTTTATATTCCGCTTCAGTGCATGGTAGAACACGTTTATAATCGATACCTAGTGCTTTACATGAAGAACAAACAAAATCATTACATTCGTTTAACCTACAACAATTTATACATGCCACACTTTTGCAACGCCAATGATTCTTCTGACAGTTTGCGCATAATGGAGCTTCACCAGTTCGAGCAAAAATTTCTTCACGTTTCTCTTTATCTTTTTTAGAAAAATTTTTCGTACATTTAAAAGAATTTACACAAGGAATACAATGAAATACAGTTGCCATGATTTGGCGAAATCTATAATTGTTTGCTATTTTAGTTTTACTCAAGTAAAAGAACATATTTATATAGTTTTTATTACATATCAAAATTTACGCATTTATACGCGTTCGTATTTACATCGTGACTTAGATCATACCCAATATTAAATTATCAAGTTTGGTCCGTTCTGTGGCCAAAAACATTTTACAAATTGGGTAATGTCGAATTACTCACTTTGGACAAAATCTGCGACTAATATAATTGTTTTTTTTTTCACAACTAGGATGAGATATGATTGGTCAAGACCGATTTTTTTTTCAACAAAAATTGAACACGTTCAATTTTCCTCAAAAAAGATTCAACTAGGACGAGATATGATTGGTCAGGACCGATTTTTTTCAACAAAAATTGAACACGTTCAATTTCTTTTTAACAAAACAACAAGATAATTAACAAAATCAAATATTTATTAAAATTTATTTAAAAAAAATTTTACATCTTCCTTTAATAATAATCTGATTATTAACTATATTAATCTGACTACTATCTTCAAATTCGATATTACTAATTTTATTTATAAAATTATCTTTTTTCTCAACTACATTCGATAAGCCAACTTCACAACTTCTTCTTAAATTAAGTTGCAACAATAATGTCGAATTTTTTACAAATCGGGTAATGTTGAATTATCTACTTTGGCTCATTCTGTGACCAAATGCATTTTACTAATTGGGTAATGCTAAATTACCTACTTAGGTTTTTCTGTACCCAAAAACATTTTACTAATTGGGTAATTGAAAAATATAAATACATCTGTACGTACAATAAAAAATATTAATTTAATTTTTAACATGGAATGTAAAAACTTCATCAAGAACTTGGTAGTAGATAAATCTTTACGATTGCAAGATCCACAAATTTTTTTTAAAAAATACCTTTACAATAATCAATATGAGTTTTATATTAATGAACGTGGGATTGTTCATGTGAAAAATATCAATAATAACAATGTGGTTGATATTTTTTTAAAATGTATCTTGCGAAAATATCTTAAGGATAACAAAGCAACCGCTAATGAAAAAGAAAGAACTGGTCGTTTTAATACGTGTCCTTTTTGTGGAAAATTAAACTTTAATTATTATTTTGGCCGATATTTTTTTGCTTCCGATGATAATCAACCAAATCCATTTATCGATCTAATCGATGAGAATCTTAATCGTTGTAGTATCTATAATCATTGGAATTCAAATGCTTTGCATGTTGGTGATAAGTTTCAGCTGAGAATTATTGATATTCCTCATGTTCAAAAATTTTTTTCCACATATAAAAATTGCAAAAATGTAAAATTGTATTGGTGTGCTCATGAAAATATTAGCGTGTATCATAAACATGGCCGTCTTTTAGATATTTATTCCGAAAAAGATCTTTTTTATTATGTGAATCATTTTTTAAAGCTAGATCATAAATTTAATCAATGCCCCGATTGCGATAGAATTAGTGTAAATAGGAAAAATGAATCAGAATGTATTAAGGTAGAATGTCAATGTTTTAAGAAGATTAAAAAATGATTATTAATTATTATCTAATCGTTACCAGTAAACAAACATTTTGAAAGAAAATAAAAATAATATTATATGAAAATAATTACTTCATATATAATTTTTACAATTTAATTTACGAGTTTTTGTGTAAACAATTTTTACATAACAACACCCCATTTTTTGTGGCGTAGACCCCATTTTTTTGTGGCACAGTAGTGGCACGGTTGGCAAAAAACCACTCACTAATTAAATTTCCTTAGTTAAAAACCACTCACTAATTAAATTTCCTTAATTAAATCGGCCAAAAACCACTCACTAATTAAAATCTCATTTTTTGGGGTGCAAAATGAAAAAAGGGTCCGTTTTTTATTAAGAAAAAAACAAAAAGAACCCCATTTTTTTGTGGCGCGGTTGGCAAAAAACCACTCACATAGTGGGAGATTGGTAGGTATTACGTAATCATGTTTATCCGAGAACCCGTTCCGGCTTTTCTAAATACCCAAAATGACCGTGACGGACACCCACGTGCGAGCACGCGGTTATCCGTCTGGTATTTTGGAGAGGACTGTGTAACATTATTGAGGGCCTTCGCCATGGTTAATTAACGCTACGCTTCACCATGATAATAAAAACTTACATAGTATTGTATATGTTATAACAAAAGTATATAAAGTGAAGTTAATAGAAAAGAGACAAATCATTTTTAATACAATTTTTTTAATTTTTAAATGAGTTTACTAAAACGCACCACTGGTATTAACACCAGTATTAGAAAATCACATGAAAATAATATATATAATCAGAAGATTATATAACAACAACAAATACACACAATTGGAAAATTATGTAACAATAGTTTAATTTGTATATATACTGTAAACCTAATGGATTTTATGTAACCTAATATATACGAATCCAAGAATTTTTAATAGTAATTCTTATTATACTTATGTTTAATAATTAGACTAAAACTTAGCTACGCCGATCTAAAATTTTGAGATGTATGAGATTAAACGAATTTATCTAGTGAATACAATACACTACCAGTAATAAATATCAGAAAATAGAGATAATCTGGGGCATTGTCAATCAAAGCATAGCTTAGTGAAATTGATTATTTTTTAAAATTGTTCCACGAAATGATAAAAATTAAAAGTCGTTTAATTGTAACATGTTACTTGTAATGACAATTAATAAATTTGGTTGATAATACTATATATTACATAAATGGGTACCTCCTAGTTGGGGCACAGGTACGGCAGATAGTGTAGAACCTTCGGGCGGACTACTTAAATAGGCACTCAAAAGGTGCACGTGTGGCTTGATGTACCATCGTTGTAATTACATATAAAACTTCGTCTATACTCTAATAAAAAGTTCCCCAGACCAAAGAAGTCACCTTAATACCAAAAAAAAATAAAAAAAAATACTATATATTACAATTAAACATCTCTTAATTTTTTTCAAAGATTAATCTCACTAAGCTACGTTTTGATTGATGATGCTCTATCTATTATATATCTATTCAAAGTGGTTGTATATGAGTATATCTATAACTTATATATTGAAAAAAAGGTATACTGTTATTTTAATAGATCCTGTAATCTATAATTACAGAATTTACAAAGCAATAATAATAATTGATGCACAGCTATATAATAGTTATATTCTGGGTATTTGGGTATAAGTGAAAATTTCTGTTTATATACATAGTATTTAGAAAATAACTGATTTATACTCTTGAACTTGATATAGTAACCTGGGTATTATAAAGTGTATATAGACAATTATAGATATGTCACCAAAGAATTGTAATTAGAAATAAGTAGAGCCCATATGTAGCAATATAAAATCTTTTGCTAAGAGTATTCCAAGCTAATCTAAAAATTTTATGTATATAGACATTCACCTTTATAACTATTTTTTAAAAGTTACCAATAACCTGACTATAGAACTATATACAAGTTCTACTATAATATAAAAATATCCTTATTTTTACATAACAAAATCATACATTATAGTCTCACACTGTTCTATTTTTTTGAGTTACAATATTAGGTTCTATTTAAACACATCTTATTCTGTAAAATTTTGGCATGTTTATGTATTATGTCTTTCTAAACCATATACTTCACATTTTTGCTTATTTTTACTAATTTCTTTGATATCATTATCAGATTCTAACTCAGCATCAGATTCTGTAGAACAGGTACATGCATTGTGACCTCTCAAACCACAAATTTCACACTTCTTCTTATTCATTCTAGTACTTTCTTCTGCATCACTTATAGGCTCAAATTCAACAACATCAGATTCTACAAATATAATAATTAAATAATATGCAAATAAAAATAAATCAAATAGTAAAGACATAAAAGACATACCAGAATGGTTTGTTTTTTTATCTTTCAAAACATTTGTTGTATCATTGAAGGCCTTAATTCATTTACCTGATCGTCTACCTTTCATTTTAATACTAATGGGATTAGTTATAGTTTGAGCCAATTCTTGAATTCTATTATCTTTATTTACAGTTTGATTTTTCTTATTTCAACTCTCAAGTTCTTTTTCCATTTCTTTAACAAGCTTCATATGAATTTCATAGAGTTCTTCAGATTAGTTTGTCATAATCGCCAAATTAAGTGTCTTTTTCAACATACCAAATCCCTTTTTCTATTGTTGTCTATGCATCATCTCACTATAGATAGATCTAGTAAAAATATAATTTCTATGAATACTTTCTAGATGTGAAAAATCGATTTGAGAAGCATATTTGGATTTATTAAATTTTTTATTTGAAATTATAGTGATAGCTAGTTTATTCTCAATCATAGAAACTTCTTCAACTAATGTATCTTGATATCAACACCATAGTACAAGTCCAATGTAAAATTTTGCAGTCATATCACTGCAAAAAAGTGGCGACATATAAGTCTGTGATTTAATAAGATTAAACAAGTACAAAGGTGTGCAGTATTATCATATAATACAATGAAATAAGTGCTTTTTTTATCCAATATAGTAACATGCCAAAGCTTGAATATCCTTGTCTATTCAATAACAGAAATTAGCTGCTCCAATTCAATTATGTTTGTATCGAACATATCCTCTGAAAACATTTCATTTGGTGATTTAGCATCAACCTAATATATTTGTAAAAAATTAGATTAAATATATAACATCATTTACTCTCATAATAATAATAACTAATATCATAACATTTTATCTTATATTTTTCTCAAGTTCATCTTTCAAATTGGCAACATAATACTGATAATGAATACTATAGTTAATCTTATCCTATTGAAGTTTCAGATTGCTAGTGTTAGGAACTTCTGACTTGACATATCAACCTCATTAAAATATTTATTATAGAAACTTTCCTCTCAGTTTACAGGAAGTTGGCTAATAGTTTCATTTACACATGTAAAATAGCTCTTTTTGTTTAATAATCTCTTTATACTATTTTTCAATTCCAAAAGAGATGATAGCCCATTTACTTGAGTTTTAATTATTCTATTATATAATTCAACATGCTGTGTGTTTTGTATACCAGCATTGAATGCATGGTGTGTAAAGCATAGAGCCCAAGCTTATCTATTTTGATAGAGCTGATAGTTCAGATAACTAGAGACATCAGTATATTTGCATAATAATTCACCCCATCTTTTCTTAAAAATTAATTTACTTCGACTATTTCGTACATAACAAAAGTCAGCAAAAAAGTTTTTCCAATTATCATGGTATTTACTAAAAAAGTGCTTTTCTAAGTTTTTATGGATATGGAATAAACAAAAATAATGTTTTGTCATTAGCAAGCAACTATCTACTACTGCAATTATCATAGGATTAGCATCTGTGTAAAGTAAATATAGTGCTAACCCACCAGTTGCCTTGATTATATTTTTGAATAGCCAAATATATATGTCTTTTGTTTTATTTGAGACAACAGCAGTTGCTACAAGGCAAGAGCGATTGTGATTATCTATTAAAATAATAATACATAATATCATTGAATGGTGGTTCATTTTTGCAGTAGAATCAAGTAGAACAATGTTATGAAATCACGCTCATAATTGCTGTTGACTGGGGCTCATCCAAAATAATCTTGTAAGGCAGTTATTATGACCTTCAAAATGTACATCAATATAAAAAGTAGAATCTATGTTTTGTTGTTTTAAGAGTTCAAAATACATAGCTCCAGCATCACTTATTGACTTATTTTAAATCCAGTTATTGTATTATATATATTACAAGTATAAATATACTTTTCTAGATTTTTTTTTTGTAAAACCTCAATAATTGCTCTAATATATACTCCACAAGTAAAAAGAAGCTTTATATCATTACACATGTCAGGAGTAAGTTTTCCATAATAACTTGCGACCATTTCAATATTTTTAACAAGAGTATAGTTGTGTTGATCATTAATTTTTGTTATATAGATTTTGTTATCTGTTTTGTGTTGATAAACATTAATATGAAACCCACAGCTGCTATTATTATAACCCCGATTATGTTCTTTAGTAATATGAGCTTCTTTTCATGAAGAATGTAGTCTGCCCTTCATACATCTATAGATATGATGCCAAGGAATTTTATCATTCTTATTTTTTTCACTGTGGGTTATAATAAATGCAAAACCATTTATTTTCTCATGATTGTCAAGCCATCTAATAAATTATTTTTAATAAATATTTGTACTAAATCATACCAAAATATACCAATTCATCACTTACATGTCTAATTCTTTCTAATTCTTAAAATCCATCCCCACAGCAATAGTATATACAATCTTTCTATTATCATCTCCAACATCCTCTTCTTGGTTTTCTATAATATATGTTGTCTCTAAATTGTTCTCTATACTTTCAGTAGCTTTATTTGTATAAGAAAAGTCATTTGGCAATAGCTACTTAACATTTATATCATTATTATATTTAGAAAATTCATCAAACGAAAAATATTTATTGAAATCTAAAATTGGTGATGGTTCATCATTCATATTATTAGCATTTTCAGAGTAATATTTATCGACCAAGAAATATTTATTAACATCTGAAATTGGTAATGGCTCAACATTTATATTGTTAACATATTTAGAAAAATATTCATTGATATCTAAAATTGGTAATGCATTCATAATTTTCTTTGACTATAACTTTTATCTGGGTGCAGTAATTCATAGCTTGTAGTTAGTATTTATTCAAACAGATCTAGTTCATGAAAATAACTATGCATCTTTTTCGCTGTGCAATAATAAAGCGATGATATGTTAAAAAATAAATCAAACAACTCTTGGTCAATAAGCTAGACCAGAAATATTTTTTTTAAAAAAAATCAAAGTTTATTAATTAGATATATATGATCGCAAAAATGTATGAACTGGACACAGTAATATTCTGAATATTCTGTATATAGGATTTTTATAACTCACAAAAAAAAAACTTCTTTAATTCAAAGAGAATACACAATTAACCAATTCTATATATTATATAGCAGCTAAGCAATTAATAAATTTTTTTTAAAAAAAAAGGAAAATAAAAACGAATGAATAAACAAACCTAACCTTTTTCTGGAAAACTAGATGCAATAAGAATTTATATCTTGATATATAATTGGGTTTCTTTTGGTAGTTCAGTTTACAGAAAAAAATAATAAAAAAAATATAGTATTTATATAACAGTAAAGCAATAGCTAATAGTAAAAAAAAATAGTAATATATATATCATATAACAGTGAAGCAATAGTAAGCTTAAAAAATAATATAATCTTTTTATTATTTAGTAGTAAGAATCTATACCTTAATATGTAATTTGTGTTTCTTTTAATTAGTTTAGGTTGTGAAAAAGATAGCTTTGCAAGAACATACAAATTATTTGATAACTCTGAACAACTATGTGTTGTGTAGCAGAAAGAGAAGAAGTTATAATTACAAGAAAATCAACTATTAATTTCTAATATTGATATATGATATCATTATATATATTACAATTTTTGTATAATGAAACATATGTATATTGATTGATCAAAAATTGGCACTGGTGTTAAACACCAGTAGTACATTTTAGTAAACTTGTTTTTAAATTAAAATATCTTAATAACTAATTAACCAAATTTGCTAAATTTTTTTTATTTTAATTTTGAAATTATATAAAATTAAAATAAAAAAAAAATTATAAAATTTAAT